GAAGAGGAGAGAAAGAGGGAGGGAAGAGGGGAGGGGGGAGCGGAGAAGGGAGGAGGAGGAGGGGAGGGGTGGGAGGACAGGAGGGAGAGAAGGAGGGGAGGGGAGGAGGGAGCAGGAGAGGGGAGGGAAGAGGGGAGGGGGAGAGAAATGGGGAAAAGGAGAGGACGAGGGGCGAGGGGGGAGGAGAGGGATGTGAGGAGGGGAGGAAGCAGAGGGGAGGAGGAAGGGGATGGTGTCCTCCAGGCCAGAAGAGGGCACAGCCAGGCAGGAGAGGGGCTGATCCCACCTCGTTAGTGAGAGGCCTCTGTGGGGTACCCGACCTGGAACCAGGGAGCAGCACGCACAGAGAAACGGGGTGGCCTGCTCCCTGGACCCTTGTGTCTCTCCTCCGTCTCTTCCCCTCCAGGGCCCCGGGCCAGGAGGGAGGCCCCTGTCCAGGTAAGAGGGGCTCACGCAGACATGTCAGCACACACACACACACACACACACACACACACACACACAAGTGTGCACAGGCACACGCACACACTCTAAGGAGTGGGCATGTGCGAGGCAGGGGGTAGGAAGAGCAGGAGAAGCCCATCCTGGCAAAGGGCGTGTGGACGGCACAGGATGGCCTCCTCGGGGTGCCGGGGAGGGGGCGGGGGCACCAGCCTGCAGCCCACCCTCCCCTGTTGTGTGCGCAAGCGAAGGTAGTGGGTCTGGGGGTGAGGACAGGGTTACCATCCTCCGAGTCAGCCCTGCCTCTCCCGGCCCACAGAGGAGCCACGCCATACAGTGTCAATCGGGGGAAATCACGAGTTACAGGCCCCATGGGCAAAGACCTACACCACCCCTCCTACACGAAATCCAGGCCCCTGCAACTCAGCCTGTGAAAAGTCTCCATCACCCTGAACCCTTGCTTTTCTCCATTGGGTTTGGTGCAGGACCCCTCCCATTTCCTTCTTCTCCATAAAATAATGTTTCTCTCCTCTGTTGGACTTGTCTGTGGTTTTGCCGTTAGCTTGCATATCCCAAATTGCAATTCTGGGCTATTCCCCAATCAACCCATATCTGCTGGTAAAATAACTTTCATTCTTAAGGTCAACATGACCATTTAGTAAAGGGCCGGAGCCTCAAAGGAGGGGTCTTGCCTCACCCAGAATGCCCAGCCTTGGCCACTGGACAGGCACTGCCCCCGAGTCAGGAAAACAGCCCAGGCCTGGCCTCATCCTCAGACCAGGAGGTAGCTTTGCTACCCCACCGTGGCTGGGGCATACAGGTAAGCTAGACCTGCCCACATGTCACACAGGACCCAATAGCCCAGGGAATCTGTCCATTCCCAGGTCCCTGTGCCAGCTGGGACTTCAACGTTCTGACCAGCGACCTAAACTGATGGTTAATCTCCCCCAGAAGACCTGGCCAGGACCCAGCCTCACTCCCCTTCTACTTCAAAGGCCACCTGAGTCCTATCGCCCAGACTACCCACCATCACCCCCCACCCTTTCCCACCTTCTCACAGGACCCTAGCCGCCCCCCCCCCCCGCCTCCCCCTTCCGACACAGGCTCCGCCCCTCCTCTCGCTCCCGCCCCCTCCGCATGTCCTGCGCAGGCCCGCCCCTCTGTTCGGCCCCGCCCCCTCTGCCGGGTCCTGTGCAGGCTGGCCCGATGGCTCCCGGTGACCCGCCGGACATGGTGAACCTGGGCCTGTCCCGGGTGGACGACGCCGTGTCCGCCAAGCACCCGGTGAGAAGGCCGCCTGGAACGCGGGCCCCCGACCTTAGCAGCTGACCTGAGCGGAGCGGGTAGAGGATCCGTAGGGGGGGGCGGGGAGGGGTCCTCGTCAGGGAAAAGGGACAGGGACAGAGAGGGGGGGAGCCTCCTGCTGTGGGGACCGGGACATCCTGGGTGGACATGCAGGCAGGTGGGATGTGTCCAAGCCCTCAGGGCCTCACGACGAGGTCTCCTTCCTTACGGCCCGAAGGAGGGACGGGAGGGACGGTAAAAGAAGCGGGAGGGGAACTGGGCCCTCAACCCCCTCCCTCATCCCAGGGACTCCGGGAGTATGCCGCGTGCCAGTCGAGCGCCTTCGTGAAGGGCATTTTCACCTTTGTCACAGGTAGGCTGGGTCCC